TTATAAACTACTTCGCGCGCGAATCACAGTCTATGCGTCCGCCAAACTCTGGAGCACACCGTCGTCCGGACGGTCGAGCTGACAATACGCAGACGCTCCTGCGGATATCACCACCACACAAAGAAAAAGGCCTACAAGGCTTTGTGTTAAACTACGGCCTATATATGAACGAATATACGCGCACGCATTGAACTGTACAGTCTTATACGTGCCGCAAAGCCGCCGGACAGAAGAGGAAGAAATCCAAACAAATGCGGATATTTCTGTTTTCGCACGGCATGAAACACTGTATTTTGTAAATTTTCTTTGCCGCACAACCTAAACAACCCTTCCTTCCACCTGTCTTGTGTCACAAATAGCCTAGAATATTATTTCCAGATTGGAGTGGAGGAGGCTACTATCAGTCCGTCCTATCTCATCACCAACTGGGTGTGGAAAGCATTTGTGGCTTGCGCAGACCTCACTTCACTTCTTTCCCACACAGGTCATGAGTCCAGCTTACCAGGCGTACTCTATTTTCGCCTCCGTATGAACTGGTCAGCAGGAAAACCCTAGGGCCAACGTCCGCCAACAACAGGCAGAAGGAAAGTGATCAGGCGTGTCAAACGGGCAGCAGTTTAAGACTCCAAAAATGCCCCCACCCCTCCGCAACTATTCGGATATTCAGAGCTTCACGTGTAGACGGCGGTCTCACTTCGAGCAAGGGCGCTAAGTTTTGAAGAAGGAGACACGATTGCCGGAACAAGAGCTTTATTAGCCTGACGTTTCTGATTCCTACTCGAATCCATCCGCAGAGACAAAAAGCAGAAACGGGGGGTTGATGCACAAGGGGCTGCGGTATTTATAGGATGCAGTAGCCATGCTACCGCATACCTTTGAACATTCACGGCTTCCCCCTTCATCCGGGATTGTCACACTTGGTGTGATCATTGCTTGATGGCCGACATTCGAGTCGATAATTGCTGCAATTTCATCACGTGCGTTGGACGTTGGCGTGATGATTTCTCGACCATCTGACGCACCGAGCCCGGTGTTGGGAAAAGTGTTCACCTACGCGCTCCCCGCATGGCTTGTTACTCCGCTTAGGCGAAGTTTTAGCACGGAGTATGGAGTGGGAAGATCGTTGCACTTGTTGATGGACTGGGGGCCAGTAAACCATGATTCCAGTAGCTCCCGGCTCACGCGGTTGTCACCTCTTGCGAGAATTTCGGCCTCATCGAATTTGAATGTGTGGCCGGATCTCGTCGAATGAGCCGCAATTTGAAGGCTGGCGTCATTTCTGCGCACCGCTGCCGCGTGTTCGGCCATTCTCGTTTGGAGCTGTCTTCCGCTTTCTCCGACGTAGTTGCTTTGTCCGCAACTGCACCAGATCCGATAAACGACTCCAGACGTTTCTAGCCGTGGCAGTGGGTCTTTCGGTTTCATGACCAGATGCCTGATGGTTGCCTCCGGTCTGTGTGCCACTCCAACCGCAAGTGGTGCGAGAAGGCGGCCGACAGCTTCCGAAACGTTTTTGACATACGGAAGTGCCCGACAAGATTTGGTGCCCGTGCGGTTAGGCCTTTCGTCCCTTTTGCGTATGCACCGGTCGACGAAGTTGCGCGGGTAGCCATTGGCTTTGAAGACCCGTCGGAGATATTGTAGTTCGGCAATTTTGTCCTCCGGTTTATCGCAGTGCGTTTCGACACGCCGATAGAGCGTCCTTACACAATTGCGTTTGTGGCTGATTGGGTGGTTACTGTTGAAGTTCAGTACTTGCATCTTATTTGTCGCTTTCCTGAACACTTTAGTTTTTAGTTCACCACAATCTTTGCGGCATACGAGGACATTCAGGAAGGCCAGCTGGTTGTTCTCTTTCTCCTGCATCGTAAATTGAATGTCCAGGAAGACGGCGTTGAGATGTTCTGGAATGTCAACACCTGATCCCGTTCGATGACGACGAAGGTATCATTCACATACCGGGCTCAGAATTTCGGTCTGTGGTGTTGGAAGACTTGTCCCAGCGATCGTGTCTCCTTCTTCAAGACTACTTCCTGGGACTCGTCTCTTCGCTTTTATTGGCGCTAAGTTTCGCAGCCGCAAAATACTCTTTCTCAGCCTTCGTTCTGGGAGAGTGCGGTTTCAAGTATAGAGTCTGTTACCAGGTCTGATCTAGAGTCATAAGCTGGATTAGTGTCGTACGAAATTTTGATTGGCCAAAAGGCCACCAGGTGGACTTTGGAGATCTGTGCTGAGTACTGCCCACCGGGTAAAACACCGGAAACAAAACAGGCCGAGAATTGACTGAAGCCTGGGCCTCGGATGAGAACTCGGTCAATCGATTTATCGATCTGGCGTCGGCGTACAGAGTCCTGCGTAGTCACCTCCAGTCTTGCGCCGTCGGTCGATAATTGACCTGCATGCCTTATAACTGTCGCTTGTTCTGCTGCTGCTGCTGCTGCTGCTGCTACCTCTGACGATGGACTCCTGTACGAGTCTGAAAACTCAGGACAATAAACACAGTGTTCCGGTGCTCGACTCTTCTTCTTCATCGGGTATTTAAGAAGCAGACTATAATATTAAGGAGATCGACTTTAACGAAATCTTACTCGGATCGAGTAATCTCTGACAGCCTTTCGTCGGCCTCCTTTTCCTACGCGACGTTAGAACAGGTAATTTTCATGTACAGGGAAACGCTGCCGTTTAGCTGGAAAATGAATTTTCACGCACACAGTGAGCCTAGGATCTACGTCCTTGACATTAGTTCAGTTTCAGTTTATTCAGTTTATTTGGTAAGGATAATAGGCAAAGCCTTTGAAAACCCTACTTATTACATGTCAGCTCGTTCGCTTTTATTAAAGGAAAGGTAGACGAACGCAGTTGAACTCCCTATTGGCTGTAAAATGTCCAATAAAAGAACTGATAAGTAAGGAAAATTGAAAAAAAAATTGGTTGCGTAATTGCACTCAAAAAGCCATCAGCTATCTGTTTTCCGAAAAGAACTAGGCGTAAACATCTACCCCCTTCATGTAAGTAGTATACGCCATCGTAGTTACCACTATATTCGCCAAACGTTTATTGTCCGTATAACCAGCTGCGAGTTCTCGTTCTGATAGAAGCTTACAGGCGAGTTCCAGGCAGCACAAGGTGCGATCACTGGTTCTCGTGCACTCGTTCCACCATCTCGGGTATTTGCTGGACCTGTGTTCTAGGTTGCCTGTGCTTTTCAACACAACCACTTGCGCTCTGTTTGCTGCATCGTATATCGCCCCACCAAAGGTTGGGAGGCAGTTAAAACCACAGACATCCAGTGATTAGCATGACGTTTTAAATTTACGTCCGCCTCCCTTTTCTGAACGTATAGTTATTGCAGGCAGGTATCAGTCAATTAGTTATGGCACAGCGATTATTCGGTCATACGGGCCTAGGTGATGAACTCAGTCTAGTCACGTGATAGTAACGCTTCAGGAGCTATCTTGACTGCAACATCTGAATCTCCCCTCGGGAGCTCCAAACAAACGGAGTCACCCGTACCCCATCCTACGCTGGGGAAGAGCGATCAAAGATTTAAAACTGACGCGCGACCTTGAGGTCGCCCAACAACAGCATTATTTCTTAATACGGCATGCTTCCAACTAGGACGTGGGTGCACATTCGCACAGAAATTGGTTGACTAAAGCCATTAGCCAATGTTGCCATTTTTTACTTACTTCTATGGCCCTTGAATATGATTATGTAACGTTTCCAAACCACCAAATGAGGAAGGCATATTGGAATCCCTTACCTAGCTGTTTGTCCCATTTCTCTGACCTTTTTATAACTATCTTCATTTGTCACTATCGGAATGTTCTAAGCAAAATTTGGGCGTCGGTCGAATATGTAGGCCTTAGTTTTTTATTGCTATAAGATGCTTGATTATTTGATGTAGGTAGACATGCTATGCTAGGGTCACGTTTTGACTAAAGCTAAGAAAACTACTGATTTTGTGGTTTAGGCTGGGGTGCAAGTTGGGACTAGGGGCAGATTAGAGATCAGAGGCCAGGGAAAGGGTTGGAGCCTAGTTTGCCTGCCCTACACCGTCTTACCCAATCTGGTCCTCTAACCAATAATTTTTGGCAATAGTTTTTTTCGCCACTAATTCGCATATTTCAAATTGAGTTTTCTGGTTCCGTATTCCGTTAAAGTAATGAAACAGACATTTGGCATAAATTCGAGTTTTCTCAATCCCTTCCACAGACCCATCTGCCTCAGTGGTAAACTAGTTTTAATATACTCCACTTTGAACCAACTGTGGAAGACTCGGTGCCTCTCTAGGAATCGAACCCACGACAGCAAGGGGAGGCTTTAGTACAGCCAACGCTCTAACCATCTGAACTACGAGGCCCCACCGGACGATGCCAGTTTAATCCCATTTCGATCAAGTTTAGCCGCCCAACCAACTGCAATGTCTGGATCCACCAAATCCGATACAACAAGTTGACTGCCCAAGCAGGATTTCCTAAGTAATTCACCTAGAATCCACCAGATGACTACTAGGCTCACGTAATTCATAGTATTAGTATCCTTGCCGAATTAGATGAGTGTCTGTGCTCTATTTTCTCAGTAGGCTCACCTACCCAATCCTTGCTGCAGTCTTGCTCTAGGAAGCAGTGCTCTTCTACTGTGAGTTATAACTCACTGTTTCATTTCAGATGTCTTGCAAACTTCCCTGGAACTGAAGCATTTCTTTTTGTCTAAGAAAAAAAATATTAAAAAGCACAACCTCCTGCCGAAATTAGTACCAGAAATGGAAGTTTTCTTGTTGAATCGACACTAATTGTTTTCGTACTGTTTTCGAAAAAGCCCCTGTATTGCATCAATTTAGCTGGCAAAAAAGACCTTCGATGTGGCTGCAATTCGTTAAAACCGTGTTTCCATATAGAAGGTCACCCTCTGAGGAGATATTTCTTATTCACAGATAGGTTCCAGCACGTGATTAGGAGGAGTTCAGAGGGAAGGATTAAATGACTTTTTTTCTGAGTTCAGTTTCGCTCCGACTGACGTGTCAATGGGTTGCCGACCGCCAGTTGCTGGTAAGAACGATGAAGACGCTCGTACCTCTTCAACCGACACATGAACAGCGATGCACCAATAAGAATTGCCAGAACTAGGCCAGCAATGAGGATGTAGAAGACGCCGGAGAGATTGACCAGAGCCAAGGGCTCACTCGTGGGCCCACCTTTGCCATCGAAGCACTCGCCCTTCTCAATCCACCACTCCTTGTACATTTTTGCCAGAATCTGCTCCTCTCGCAGTCGCAAGATGGCGTCCGTGATGTGCTCCTTGAAGATACGCATGTCCGGCCTGTTGGAGGATACGCCGATGGCGTAGGCCTTGCTACCAAAGGTGCTGCCAACCATCATTGTGTTACAGGGTCGTCGGTGGTTGACAAACTCATTCATCTTGGACTCCACCACAAAGGCATAGGGCGAATTGCGCACGCGGTCGAAACCCGCCTGCATAGTGGGCACGAAAACAGAGGGATCCTTGAGCATGCCCTGGTAGATGGTCTTGTAGATGTGGTCAGTGGAGGTGGCAAAGAAGTCCTTCGTTGAGCCTGAGTCCAGGGTGCCCACCTTGATGGGCAGATCCTTGTACTCAGCAAAGTCCTTGATGGAGTTGATAGGTGAGATGAGTCGTTCCACAGAGAGCGCAGCAGCCAGGTTTGCCGTGTAGTAGGCCATGATCACGAGACAGAAGTAACGCCAGATGCTGGTGAAGACGCGGGTGCTTGCAGAGATCGGAAATATGTCAATGCCCTCGTGGACGAAGGAGGCGAAAGAGAACCAGAGACTGTTGCCGAGGGATAAACCGAGATGGGCGTCGGGTCGCATGCGTTCCTTCGGCGAGATGGAGGCAATGAGGGTGAGAGCAAGGGCTACGACGACAGTTGCAGCAGCGGTGCAGAGCCAGACCGAGTTTGTCAGGGGTGAGAGGAAACTGAACATGCCGGGCTTGGTCTTGCCCGGTTTTCGCAGCATCAACGACAGACCGAAGTTCATAAAGGGTTCCGTAAAGTCAATGTATTTTGCTCGAGCTGTGCTCATTGTAAGCGGAGCAATAATTATATCGGCCTCGCCGCGCAGTACCTCGCCGACCATTCCATTCCAGGAATTGGTGGTTGGATCAATGGCTCCAAAGAGGCCATCCTTCACCAGATGAATTTCGTAGTTCAGATTTAAGTGGTCGAAAATTCGATCTGCCAGCTCTTTGCAGTAGCCGGCAAAGTTGTGACGCCCCGAGGTCACCGTTTCCGGCACATTGTTACCATGCATCATGAAGGGCTTAGAAAGCACGCTCACTACTCTGAGGGTTTTGTTCTGTGCGCGGAAGACCTCCAGAATGTTGTTGTAGTTCAGGGATTCGTGCGTCTTCTCCTTCGCGCCGTGAGTGTGTTTGCGATTAAAGAAGCTGGGCCTAGATGCGTCACTGGGCAATACCCAACCGGAATGCAAACTCCACTTAGCGATTGTGCGGGTCTCAAGGCTACCAAAGGCTGAAGAAAGGACCAGACTGTAGCCGGTTCGACTGCAAGTCAGAGGGTCGAACCGCAGGATTCCTGATTGACCAGAAATCTCCTGGTGAAGAAGCCACTTGGAGACCTCATCGCCAGGTTTCCAACGCTGGACAAGTTCCTTGCTGACTAGCGTGCCCCGCTGAGTGTAGCACTTTGGTCGATCGTTGCTGCTATTTCGAGGTGGCAACGTTTCTACAATTGAATTGGTCATCCGTTTTGTCTGACGTGCCAATTCCATAGCGTCGATCATGAAGGCGATGTCATGAAGGGACATGCCGGAGTCACGCCAATCCGCGGCGAACTTGGCAACAAGTGGGTCCTGGTATTCCAACACGTGAAAGCCGGTAATGTTTACACCACTGCGTTGGTACACGTCAAACGAAAGCTCAAACAGGTCGAAGTCAACCAGGAGGTAATTGTACTCTGTGCGCATCATACCCATTCGCGTCAACCAGGTGAAAACCGTGGCAAGCCGCTCACGACCACTTTTTGTCGCGTCCACTGGTGGTCCACCGAGGTCGATGATGACATTTCGCTCCGTCTGCGTGGATAGGTGGATGTCGACGGACTTCAGAGCCATGCGCATCTGCTCAGGATCGTCCGCATCAACGAAGCCGTGGATTATAGGCGGCGACGGAGGTCGTTTGGAGTTGGGCTCCTTGGTGACACGCGGTCTGACCTGCTGGTGCGGGGTCTCCCCCTCGTAGGCTTGCGCCTTGCGGAGGACGATCTTCAGTCGGTTAAAGGCTTCCTCTGAGCCGTAGAGGTAGGCAAACTGCTTCCACTTCCAAGAAGCCAGAAAGTCAAGCAGGGGCTGCGTGACGCCGGGACGGACGGAGAAGATGTGGCAGCCGGGATTGAGGGGACTGGCAGTCGGGTGAGGGGAGGCATCGTGCGGCAAGTAGCTGGAAGCCCATCTGCCACGGTTAAGATCCCCATCCCAGGTGATGTAGGGCAGGGCGAAGGTGTTAGCCAGAGAGCTGACCAAATGAGCTACCGTCGGAGGTAGGCTACCCACGGCAGTTGCTCTCTCAGCCGCCAGAGCATGACAGAGTGCGGCCATTACCGTGGTGGCCTTGTTTTCCTGTATCACATGAATAGCCAACTTGGGGGTGTCCTTGCTCTGTGCAATCTTCCGCAATACGTCAACCACCTTCTTCTTAGCTCTTGCACCACCCCTCCCCCCGGTACCCGCACCTGTCTCGGCCGATGGCTGTGGCTGTGCGCTGAGTATGACGGTAATCACATTGTTGGCGGAATTCTGCGAGTTCGAGGTCGACAGGAGCAAAAGTGTCAAAAGTAAGAGGGGGAGGAGGAGGAGACGATGGACCTTGAAGCAGGCGGAGGATCTCATCGGGAGCTCACACGCCGGCTCAGCACGTAGAGCTCCGGTCGTCTTATGCCTACGAGGCTAACGCGAGCTGGAGCAGAGGCACTGCTGCGATTTGATTGGCTAAACCCTGGCGATGCGCGCGGGCGAGTATGACCTTGAAACCTCTAGCTGGCGGACAAACAGGCAGGCGGACTTGGACGGTCGACTGAGCCGAGTGATCACTACTCGGCGTATTACGAGCGGGAGCTAGACAGACAGCTCTTTTACGCCAGTGGTTGTACGATCAAGCCTACCTTTCAGCACATTACGCTGTAAGGTTTTGGCTGAGTTTAGAGTCGGCAAAGAGGGAGGGAGGGGTGGAACGATGGAGGGTAGGGATTACACGAAAAGGGAAGCAATTAGCAGCTGCTCACTTTGCTGTCGAAATAGCCGCTTTCTTTGAGGGCTGTGCCGTCAAGATCTCCGCCCGACAACTAGTGGGCGGTTTCCCTACGTATACTTCTAGTCCCCGTCACTGCGCACACTTCTAAAAACACAGACACTGTCAGCCCTTACATACAACCGGTAGGGTAGGCCCTACGCACACGATGACCTACAAAAGTGGGATTCCAAATAGGAAGTAAGGGTAGCAACTAGAACAGGACGGACCTCGCAGCAACAGACAAAACTAAGAGCAAATGAGAGTAGTTGTGAGGGCCTATGCGTCCAGCGTTTATGAGCTTGATGAGCTACTTGCTACTCAATCCAAGGAGTCAAAGTCGCGTCTGTTAGCACTGCGATGACTCCGATTAGGGGGCTTGGCCAGACGATCATGGGACACACGCGACGGATTGCGAATGCTCGCGGATTGTGGACATTAAACAGACGGAGCACCCAGGTTGGTAAAGTTTAGAGATCAGGGAGTAATAATTTGAGAAAGAGAAAGAGCTCGTAGCGGCCTTTCTCTGAGCGCCTGCTGCAACTCTATGCCTTTCCTGCAGTCTGGTTTTCGACCGATCGCAACTATATAAACCGATCAATCAACTTCAAGGCCAGTGAAAACACGCTCTAGCTCAAGGCGCCCTGACTGTCCCCCTTTCACTCTGGGCGCCTCTCTAACGGCGCCGGCCGTGTATCCACATCCGACTGCCAACTTGTTCTATCCTGTTATTCGACCATTCTGTACAGATTACGAGAGTTCGACCGTCGGTTTCGACGATGTCCACCGTGTGCTCCACAGCAAGGCGGAATAGGACCGGTGACTTGTGCGCGAGCTAGTTTATAGTGATAGTAGACTTGCACAGGATTTACCGCACTCTGTCTTCCCCACTCCCTACCTGGATCCGGTGTCAAGACAGGGTCAAGCAGACCGGAGGCGAGGCCAGACGCAGGTAGATGGCACGGTCGAGCCCGCGCCTTGGCGCTCCACTCCACACCCCCTGCTCCACACAGCAAATGACCAGGATTTTTCACCAACAACAACGACACCCCAACAGGGGCCAGAGGGACGAGGATGACTGGACAGCCATGCTTACGATCTGTATTCACAGCGGGAGCGCAAGCGCATCTATTGACAGGGGGTCAGGCGTCAGGGAACTGCCAGCGCATGCCAGGCTGCGAGGGCCATGGTTTTCTGATACTGGCATAGCACACGATTACAGACCTTTTGACCTAGAAGGGCGACACGTGGTCCTGCCTATACAGTAGGTGGGCTAACTCATGAAATGTCAACCCAAATTCCGAAATGAGTTTTCGTTTGGAAAAGACTAATTAAGTATGATTGTAAAACTAATCAATCTGCAGCATAATTCGATAATAATTCAGTTACCTCAGGATGCTGGCTTTCGAACGAACTTCCTTCCGGCTGCATACAAAAACTACACTCTGTAAAAAATGACTACTTATGTGGCATGAATTTGCCTCATTGATTTTCGATGTTTTTAAAAGTCCAATTATATTTCACGGAAAACATCCGTAAAAATTTTCCTTCTTTTAATCATTCGGTAGATAATTACGTCTTCTTCTAATTTTGTACTCGAAGAAAAGGTATTATTCGGTTTTCAAAAACTTTTCCAATTCCCCAATAATTTTGAACCCGCTCTGCCGTCACACTTGCATCCAGGGTTTCCAAACTATAAGCCATGTATTTTCCGCGTACGAAAAACCGGACATTGCTCTACGGTTTTGAGGGGAGACCATATGGGGTTCATAAAATTTAGCATTGGTTTTGATCCATAATGTTAACTCTACAGGCCGCATTGGTAAATACAGAGACATGACGTTTTATGAACGGCCATCTCACGGTATTTATAACTCCCACAATTAGAAACTTTTTGAAAGCCGTATTATGTCCCTCTTTCGAGTATAAAATTGGAAGAAGACTTAATTATCTACCGAGTGATTAAAAGAAGGAATATTTTTATGCATGAAGTATAATTAAACTTTTAAAAACATCGAAAATCAATGAGGCAAATTCATGCCACTTAAGTAATCATTTTTTACAGAGTGCAGTTTTTGTATGCAGCTGGAAGGAAGTTCTTTCGAAAGCCAGAATCCTGAGGTAACTGAATTATTATCGAATTATACTGCAGATTGATTAGTTTTTCAATCCTACTTAATTAGTCTTTTCCAAACGAAAACTCATTTCGGACTTTGGGTTGACATTTCATGAGTTAGCCCATCTGCTGTAGTCTGGACCGTCGTCCTTCAAGGTTAGGTAACCGAACAGTCCTCAACTGAGAGGCACTACCCATAGAGTACACACACTCTCCTCACATACATGAGAGTGCTACAGATCACCGGAGAAGGAGCCGCTTCAGCCTGGCTCTCAGCCCACACATACAACTGGACGGACTGCATGGACTGAATAGATGAATAGATTAACTTGGGGCTTACCGCTGTGGTCGGCCAAACTTCTGCAACAAGACAAACTCAGAGGCTCTCCTCTTTTAGGCCTTTAGGAGTTGACACAAAAGAACAGAGTTGGAATTCAAATTATGCTAAAAGAAAGTGGAATACTAGTTCGATATGCTGATCTTTTTGGCCAAATGAAGGATTGTAGCCTATACAACATGACATGTGATTGGAGAATATACTTGTGTGACTGCCCAGCTTCTTATATTTAGGTTGGCGGAGTTGGACATACCTTCTTTCTCCAGGTAATCTTTACCCATCTGTCTTATGGACACTCTGATTTTCTTATTTGACTGATTGTAAGGTATAAAAAGAATGTCATCGGTTACGGAATATGGGAGTTTTTAAGCCTTCTTCGTCTTTGAAACAGTTTCTTCTCTATCCAGCTCCCCCCCCTGACGCCAAGCCCCAGGAAGATGCGTTGTGCTTCCCTCGCGACCGCCCATTTCTCAAACTACGGAAAAGGCATTCTCTGATTGGGCCAATATATTTTCGTTACAAGAGTGTTTTGCGAATGCACAGGCGTCCGGAGGTTGGTGGTTAGTACGTCTGAGAGTGGGGGTCAGCTTCCGACAACTTTGCCATCTTTGTCGAACTGATGACTTTTCCCAGAAATATGTTGAGCGCTGGAAAGGAAAGTAAAGAACTAGATCGAAGGACGGCAAAGGGACTTGGTTGTTTGTTTTCTAACAAAGACAAAAAAATATTCCCCTTACCTTGACCTCCCGTGCCCTCATTCTTGAGGCTTTCGACGTTGGTTGCAAATTTGCGAGCCGGTTCCAACACGAATCTACATTCATATTAGGTAGAAAGTTGGAACGGAATAGGCGGATCAACTTACCGATGAACTATTTGTATATGGTCCCTTCGAAACTTCTCTAGGCTGCTTATGCAATCGTTGTAGGCATCCCGCAACTGTCCCGAACAGGATTGGCTGACTGTAGGGAGGTGAAAAAAGGCGGGGGGGACTTAGGTTTCCGAGTTTTCTAACAGACGGACACGCAGAATAATAATTTGGTTGAAAGTAGACAAGAGGCAGGGGTTGTTTGCACGTTTATTGCAGTTCATCAGGTCCATTCTGTCGTGAAAGGAGCTTATGTGGCCACCCTACCTACTCTCGATGTCAGCTGCAACAGACCATCCTTGTTAGATACATACAGTGAGTGACTTATCTCGTGAAATGTTGGCTGAAATTCCGAAATGCGTTTTCGATTAGGAAGGATTACTTGGTCGCGGTTGTAATACTGATTGTCCTAAGACATACTCTTATAACACACCAGCGGAAGTCGTTCATCTGACATGCTGGGGCTCTGTGGGACGTTCTCTTCGCGTCTGGCCTATACATGTGACCGAGAGGATCAGCATGGAGTTCGCCCAATCACAGCTATCCAAACCGGACTGTCAGCTTCAAAACTGATGCAGACACTCACTCACTGTGACGTTCACCCCGGCAGCACCGGAAGTTCGTCACTTTTTGGACTGCCAACCTTATACTACTTATTTCTCACCCATTCTCTACTGACCTTTTAATCACCCTTCTTCTTACTCAGGACCTTGCCCCGCATACATGCTCTCACAGCTAGCACTTCACAACACATGCTCAATGCAACGAAACAGGAGAAAATCTCGGAGGACTTTGTCAGCTTATCGCCTTCGTGTTGTTGCTGTTATTGCTTTTTGTCTAGACGTCCTACGCCGCTGATTCGACTTGTGGCGGTCAAGGATGTGGGATCATCTTAAACCACGCACAATAAGTTCATTTCGTCTAATGCCAGAAGTCAGCGAGCTGTGAGGAATTGTTTATTCTGTACACAGGACAGGTTGCCGTAAGTTGGTTGTTTGCTTGCAACAGAGATAAGCGTCCGTTCACAGAGAGCGTCAGTCGCGGTGGTATTTTACGCGTGGGTGAATGTCTGTGGCAGTAGGTGGGGGTGACTGGCTGAGTGCTGGTCATGAGTCTGGACGGATTAGGGGGACGCATAATCACAGGGGCTCACGGGTATCAAGCCAGGTCGTCCGACGCGCGTGAGGTGATAATAGTTTGTGAGGGCAGCCGGGAGTCACTGCATATGGATAGGAGGGGTCCCAGTTCTAGCCGGCGGGGGTGGTCGTGTGTCAGGGGCCTGGCAACGACTGTCCGACAAAACGGAGCCGGAGAAAAGGGGGGCTGGAGCGGCTGCAACACACTCATCCCGCGTTTGACAGAATCTGCCGTGTGCACAGGGTCTTTTGATCGTCAAGGCCTCTGAGTGCAAGGCCTCATGAGATTCACGGACCGATCGATTTACGCAAATTTAACTAGAGTCTGGCCTGCGCGGACAGCACACAAGGCAGTTCGATCGCTGATTTCGACGATGTCCACCATGTGCTTCACAGCAGGGTGAGAGCAGGTGCCATGGCTTGCGCGTAAATTACTTTATAGTGATGGTACACCTGGGTACGGTGTTATGGCCAAGGCAAGAAGAGCGGATGTGGGAGAGGCCGCAGGTGGTTGACACGGCGAAAACCCGCACCTACGCGCACAAATCACATCGTGGTTCAAAATGGACTGTAAAATTCTTCCTCAACTGAGTCACGCGTATAAGCCAAAACAGATTTCGGTGTACATACGGTACTATTGATAGAATAACGCATGATACCGCATGCATCAACCGACACGTAGAATTGGATGTGGTGCACAACAGCCTCAAGGAGAAGTGGAAAAGACATTAGCCAATCAAAACATTACGCCAGCAGGAGTGACAGGGCAAAATCGATTTTTTCGGCATGTTTAAGTGTTAACTGTTTTGTACACTAGCTACACGCCTGAAGACGACTTGGGGAACCAAAGTCGAAAACTTACAATAAAACTTGTTTATTTTTCCCAAAGAGCTTATTTCTTTCGAATAAGGTAATAATAAAAAACGTACAAACATCAACAATGAATACCCTAGACAAAGAATTCATTCGTTACTGTTTGAGCAAATCGGATTCCCAGCTCAAGGTCAGAATACAAAAACTAGTTAATTAAAAGAAAGAGAGTTACAAAAAGGGGAAAGGAGAATGTCAACCAGAGCCAAATGTGGAAACACTTGCGAAGAGGGCGTGGGAAGTTCCAAACGTTGCCCAACTGGATCCAACATGGAGACTGGCCAAAGTTTTAGGCCACAACAAAAGTGAGGGGCGGTAGAGATCCTAATTGGTGCGGCGTGAGCTTGCATATGGACGTGCCGCCGCAACCTGAATGTGGGCATTTGTTATGGATGCGAATTCCCGATATCGCCTCCTAATAGGTGATCAGCGATGAATGGACACCAGTCGTGGCTCCTGAATGCATTCCGTCCACACACAAGGTGATACCCTATACAGCGCGCTCCCTAATTTACTGCGGGTGTTTTGATTCAAATGTCCAAAACTCGGCAGCAATTCACAACAAATAGTCTTCACTGACTATCATGGGCGGCTGCCATTAGGCCAGAAGTTTAGTCGACCATAATGAGGTTCCAAATAAGCCCGGTTGTATAAGTGTCGCATAGAAATGAACCAAAGCGCGCTGAACCGGATCCGCGGGCACTCTCTCGGGTGCCGGTCTCCACAACAGCGTAAATCGGCGGAGGCAGATGCGATAACCACACGAATCCTAAGTCCCGTCCGTTGTGCACAGAAAAATTTCTACCAGAATCTGGCCAAAGGTACATCTGCAGAGGCCCGCCTGTTGCAACGCTGTGCATGTCTCACGTACCAGTAGCATTTTGATTCTCAGCCAGTCACGGCTATCCAAACCGGCCAATCAACTTCAAGACCGACTCGGACGTGCTGTCACCCAATGCATACATAGCACATGCTCTGCTGCCATTCGGGAAGCCCGCCCTCGTGGCGTCGGGCGTGTGCCCTCGTTCAGCTGTCAACTTGCTCCAACTTCTCCTCGAAGCATTCCGCACGGATAGGTAGGGTTGTAGCGGCAAAGACAGGGAGTCCACAGTGGTCATTTCCAGCTTATTGGCCGTCATCAGTCAGTCATACCCAACCCTAAAGATTCCATGTTTGAGTCTCAGATGACTCACACACGAGGTTGGGTATGTCTGGCTGATGACGGCTAATAAGTCCGAAATGATCATTCCGGTCGTACCACCTTATCAGCCTATACCACCAGTCGTTATGCCTGGGGGGTTCTAGCTTGAGTCCCAAGGCACAACGGGACGAGGAAGTTCCATAACCTGATCGGTGAGCGTCTATGTGTCCTAATTCTGTATAAAATGTGATCCCCTGTCAACTGGCGTTCAACCCATTCCCTTTGTAATCGAGACCGGGCCTGAAGGTCGCAGTAACTGGGGTTTGCCCATGGCTTTAATAGCCGTAGCACATCCAATGCACAATACAGCGACTGGACTCCCCTCCTCACGCATAACTGACCCTAAACCACTGATCCTCTCCGGCGATCAAGAACTCGGCTTATTAATCGCTATCCTCCCCTAACCGAAAGAACCTGATTGTTTATGCTGGTTTGTTGATCTGTTGACGAATTAATAAAACAAATCCCCGGCTGACTTGTCCCTGGTGAGATCGCCATAGGGAAATTTTTTTCAATAGATAAAATAACCGCTTTGACTATATTGCGAAGACCTTACCATAATCTCGAAGGGTACTATATTTTTCCATGTCTTCAATCAACTGTCGATGAGCGCGGATCATATAGGCCCTCATACGGACGAGGAACTCCTCCACTTCTAAAAGGAAAAAACAAGAGATGGTACAGGTTGTTAACAGAAGCGAAGAGACGAGTCCAAGACAGCAGTCGTGAAAAAGGAGACACGATCGCTGGACGTTTCGGATTCCTGCTCGAACTCATCAAAATGGATTAGGTGTCTGTCTCGTGAGTAGGTCACTCCTTCCACGAACGCAAATGAGAGCAGGAAGAAGCAGTCGTAAACTGTTAAACACCTAATCAACTGTGAATGTGGCGTGGAGCTTAAACTACGATACATTCTTGAGGGGGGAGGGGGAAGCGTAAACTCGAGTGCTGTAATGTAGATTAACATGGGTCGTTTGTAAACATATTGAAGAGTGAGAACGTGGGCGACTTTCACTCACCTGGTCCATGCTTGACGCAAAAGAAGGCATCTAGAGTTTGTAGAATGGCCGACTGAGCGGCGCTAGCGCCCAGGTAGATGCGACGTCCGTCCTGAGAACCATCCATTTCCTGCCCAGTGAGCAGGTCGTCCGGAACACCCTCGTAGATGAGCCCTTTTGTAAGTCTACCGTGTGACCAGCTTAAAAAAGGGGCAGAAACGAGAAGCAAGAATGGGTATCCTCAAGGAGATTACTGTATGCATTCGAGGGGTCGAAAAGGTGACCTTGAACGGTTAGATCACAAGAGCTAACATAATCATTTGCTACTCAGCGAAAATTAGCGGTTGTTTGCGGTTGTTGTTGTGTTTTGTGCTTTACGTATTGGTTAACACACTTAAAGGCATGTTTAACGCAAATAATGTTAAGTCGCGCGTTGCATTATATATATATACACATGCGGAATGAGATAACCGACAAAAACGAGGGGACTGCAGTGGCCATTTCTAACTTATTAAAAATTTGCCAGCTCGCCATGTCCAACCGGAGGTTTGCAACCCCCGAGGTTCGGATCCGCATTCTATTGGTTAGAAGTTCAACGTCCTAGTCACTGAGCCGCGGGCTTCTTACCCTGCCGGTTGCGATCGGACACATCAACAGTAGTAGAGGGCTTGGTCATCATCAACCGGTTCGAATTCCATATGTTCCACGGCTGGGGTTGAGTATGACTGGCTGATGACGTCTAGCGAGACACAAGTGCGGTCTCTCTTGTACTTGTCGACACCATCTTATTTACCTCTACTACTAATCGCTATGCGACTATCTGCGAGAGCTCTGTCTTGAGTCCCAAGGCACACCGTGACGAGCACGTTTCGTAACCTGATATATGGGCGCTCAGCTGTTATAATTAATATTCTCGACCGGGCAACCGGCCCGTGGCTGAACGGTTAGAGCGCTGGGCTTCTAAACAAGTGGGCGCGGGTTTGAGACTCAGAGGTCGCAAAAGCTGAGGTTGGTTACGGCTGGCTGATGACGGCTACCAGGTTAGAAATGGTCCCCCCAGCCTCCCATATCTTTGTCGGTTCTCCACTTCTGTGCATATTACTTGCCGTCGTGCGATTACTGGGGAGCCCTTAACCGAGCTCTCAAGCACAAGGGGACAAGCAGGTCTCGTTACGCCATCAGTGGGCGCCTTTACTTATGTATATATATATATATATATATATATAGGCAGAATGATATTACCGACAAAGACAAGGGAGACTGGAATGGCCATTTCTGGCTTATTAGCCGTCGTCAGCCAGCCATACCCAAGCCCGAAGTGTGGAACACCCGAGCCTCGAACTCGCGACCTGTTGGTTTAGAAGTCAACGCCTCTACTCACCGGGCCACGAGCCCGTTGCCCTGCGCGGCTGCTGGTTGGGCTCGAGAGAGAGCCCTTAAGGCACAACGAAACGAGTGAGTTCCGTATGGACGATTGGTGAGCGCCCCCCTAACATTATATATATATATATATATATATGGTAAAGGCATTATACCGTACTCCCGACCTAGATACTTGCTAAAAGCCCAGACACGTGTTTCGCCGATATTCTGCCACTGCGTGACACAGCTGCGAGGGGTTCGGCTCTTCAGTGGGACCCCCAGCGTTCTCTAGCGGTTTCCGGTATATGAACTCCAGAGAATGGGCAGTAGAATGGGCATTACGTGGTTATTCCACAGTAGTTGATTGTCTTCGACTCAAATGTTCATTGAAATTTCGGTTCTGACCCTAAAAAGTCATGTCCCGGAGATTTAACTCCAAGTTCTGCATTGATTAATTTCCGAAATTATTCACCTGATATATATATACGCCTTAATTGGCGAAATATCTCCAATCAACCGGAAATTAGCCCAAATACATCAGCCAAAACACAAAATTAATAATTCAGTTAAATAAAACTAAGAAATAACTATTAGAAAAAATAGCACGTTGGTTAGACATAACAATTTTCCTTGAGTGGACCAAAATGCCGCGAACGTGAAAATTCGTGTTAAACGTGAAAACTCGGTTTGTCATGCAAATAACAGGGGAATATCCTCGAATAATAAGTAGCATATGTGAGGCATTCAACCAGCTGCCAAGTAGTTAATTATATGTTTAAAACTGTTTCATGCGAGTTCGATATCAGTTAGCCGTAGTTGTGCTGTCCGAGATGTGGTTGATTAAGACAGAGGTTACTCTCCTCTAGTTGAAATACCATCATGGACACGCAAAATTAATCTATGGCAGATACTAACACAGAGAGTTGTCTAAGTATAAAATAAGAGCGATTTCCACGGTACTTTTCGAACTTTTTCTCTCTTAAAATTATTAGAAGCCTATTATGCACGGAGAAGGGCATTTTCAGGCTAGTGCATTTTTTATTCCGGCGATCGTGCGAACCCGGGACTCACATATTCGTCTTCAGGCGTTAGTAGTGATTACTTGTGTGTTACATTGAGCTCTGTTGAACAAGGACACCTAATCCTAAGATTTACGCAGTATTCTCTCTAGGTTTTGGAGCACACGAAACAATGGTAATGATAACAGTAGCTTTCATTCCGGTACCAGCAGGGTAACACGTTGCCCATTACGCCTTAAATCCCCCCACCCGTCTTCAAGTTGGAACCCATACATAGGTGGTAGTTTTGGGCATGTAGAAAATATTACCCAGAGAGGTATTTTCTCAGATCCACGTAGAACTCCTGGGGATCGAGTTCACCTAAAAATGATTGCGAATAACTTGTTCATTTAAATGTTATGATAACTGCTACTTGTTTTGGCTAAGTAGAAATATCATTTTGAGATATTATGAGGTGCGAACTTCCATCTGATTTTGGGATGCACAAACTTTGTTAAATCGGCAGTGCAGGAATGGTTTAACTAGTGGCTTTTACTGTGCCTTCCATATCGAGAGTAGAAAATACTTCAGGTGACGACGTGGGAAATCGAAATATCAGCGGCAATACAGAAAGAGTACCGTGTGAACAGCCACCGAAACACACTGGCGTAACATTTGGATTGATTTTTTTACTGTGAAAATCAGGGTGCCAAGCAAAATACATTGTCAAGCCAAACATGCATAACTCACTAAGAAGGCGAAGCATCTGCTGTCTCATGGTGTCCAACATCGGGGGAAATTTCCGAAGGCATATTTCAATGACATTCTGATCTCCAATACGTATTGCCTGAAGCACTTTCATCATCAGCTAAAGAATGCAGAAGAAAGTTGTCAGGGGAGCTGCAGCGACAATGGTTCGGAAAAAAATAGAGCTTACAACTCTGGAAAATCATGACTCACGGAAGGCGCGGCCGCAAATGTGATCTCAATGTCTGCCGTGCGTTCAATGAAGGGTGTCCAGGCAGAATGACCGGACGGGGTGAATTCAATGTAGTAGGCTCTATAGAAACGTACGCAATAAGAGGGGCTTACCGTCGAATCAAAGGTACGGGCTTTCAACCTGATTGTGCTGCCGGAATTCGATCCGGCCATTATTTAGCTTTAAGGAGTAATTTTAGAGTCTGATAAACGCTATTCGGGAGGGCACGGGAATTGGGACCTCCGTGCTGCAGGTTTATTTGCGCTAAATTCCAGGGAGTGAGGGTAGTGTTAGATTTAGGAGGGTTGGAACCAGGATGTGGGTCACTGATTGACTAAGAGCACTTTTACACCGCGGGTTTATCGGCAACTCCGGCAGATGGTGACAAATAAGCTAGAAACGACCGTTATTTCACTGCTTATCGACGTAGGATCATCCGTGAAAGTCCTGCATAAGCACACTAACTCGAAACCGGACACCTATAGACCAGTGTATAAACACTCTCACAGATTACTATAGTTAATAACGGTCGCAGCCTACACGGCTTGTGGCCAGGCCTCAGTGGTAGAGCGTTGGTCTTCAGACGGGTCGGATCAGCTGCTGGTTGCGATTTTCTAACCGAGTTTCAGTGCCCCAGCACACTCGAAAACATGCTATCACAGCAAAACTGGATTTTGTGGCTTCGAGACAAGTTGGAAAAATAGCATGTCCAAAACCTTGGAGGACGCCGTAAAATCAGCATTCTACTTCTCGCAATAAGCATTTTGAAACCAATAAAATTGTTGTCCCTCATGAGCTACAAGCCAGCAGTCATTTCTAGAAATATTGCCTCCAGATACTACAACAAGATTCAGGAGTCACGGATGATTTCCAAAAGGAGAATGGGAAACGGCCCGTCCTCTACCCCACCCCACCCGCACAAACATACCCCTACTATTCAATGTCCCTCCACGTTTCATTCCCTCTAATATCACCTTTGTCCTCGTGTTATTTTGCGCAGTTTCTCTTTCCACGCCCGTCCATTAGTCCCATTTATCCCTTATCGCCTTCCCGCTTTAATTGCAAACCTTTTAAGCCCTCCTTAATTTCCCGGATTTTTCTTCGGTAAACTTTTTATATCTCGTTTTCACCTCAGCATCTTACATTGACATCGAAGTTCACTTCCTCTCTCCCCCATTACGTGTTTTTTCCCGCCCTTATTCGAACTATTCGCCTCGCCCTCCCTCCACCTTTTCCTTGCACCGATGCTGGGCTCGACTGTAAAACTATCATAATACCAGTACCGAATTTCGTCTGTCGGTTAGATGTAGTTATGTAGCCCCACCTGAAGTAAACAAACCCCAGCCACCTGTAATACGGGACTGCTTGTAATGGGGGTTTTTACATGGGGGGACGTAGAACAGACTAAGAGGTCGAGTAGTTGTATGTAAAAGAAAAACTATTGGGAATGCGCGGTTGTACTTCGAGTGGTTGAGAAATAGTTACCCTAACACCTAATTCTAACCCTAACCTCTAACCCTAGCCCCTAACCACAACCCCTAAACCCAACAGTATTGTGCCTATCAGGTGGGACTAAATAACCACATCCTACCAGAGAGTATCCTAGTACCAGTCCAACATTTCATCTGATGTCCTTGCCTGGGTGGTTTCGCAATTCGTCCACATGTAAAGTGAGGCCAGCATTTGCTATCTTGGTTTGACTGCAAGACTGATCGCGCTGGCTTTGGCTAAAACCAGATCACATCAGCCCGTATGTGCTCCTAAGTGATCATGGGGTCCTCCCGTCCACGGTGGTTTGAGTGCGGTTGTTTTGGACTACACGATGGGCTGCGCTGCAGATATGCTAGGCCAAAACAGGACTAGGTTGGCTCACAGCACGCGCCTGTCGGGCTGTGCAGAGTCCGCGCGTGGTGGCACGTCAAAGACGCAGGTCGTCACGTCACGTCCGCCACTGCGCTCAATACCATCATTAGTTGGTTGACAGCCTCCGACAGCCGACTTGTGCATGACGAAAGGGTGTGAGAGAGAGATAAGTCGACATTGGGGAATCCGTCCCCACAGCATGTCAGCTCAGCCCTCACTACAACTAACCTGACGCGCTTGAATCTATCCCGATGTGCTAATAGCACCGACTTGGAAGGTTGCCAACTGGCAGGATAACTCGATCCTTTTCAGGACTGCGAGCCAGGTTGCAGTGGCTCCTTCCAAATGTATCCTTTATGACACTCTCACTCCCCGGGCCGTCATTACAGAAGACCGATACATGCTGCGATGATCAGCTCGTGTGTGGCACGCATAGACGCACCGTTTAACTTCGTCAGCCGCTGCACCCGCGTCCACCGCTAGTGGTCTCCATATTTTCCTGCCACCGGTGCAAGGTGGGTGAGGAATTCGAGAGTGCGGTAGATGCTGCGTAAGTCTGTCACACTATGGACTAATTCACGAGCAAGTTATCGATCCTGCGCCCACTCCGTTGGGCACGCGGACGACGTTGTAAATTGCTACGCTCGAACGGTCGTCGAATTTGGTTGGTAGAAAGCGGCATATAGGCGAGGAAATTCCACTAAAATACCTCTAAACTTTCCAAGTTTCTCGAGGAAAAAGGAAAAATCGGGTCTGTGCAAATTAGTTTTCTTTAGATCCAAGCGCTGTGCATTAAGCTAAGCGCACATCATATTTTAATTTGTGTCTTGAAGCTCTGCCAACTGCCTGTAGCCTAATTGCCTGTCCTATAAAGTCAATTTTAAGGACATTTTCTGAGATAGTATCTCCTGGGATGAACATCAGTAATCATGGATGAGGGAGAACGAACTGTGTGTACGAATTACCTGCCCCAAATTACGCTTCCAGATATGATGTTTTTGGGTACATTCTGAGGCATAATAGTAAGGCAGAAGAGTTGGACAGATAAATGACGGCACCTGTGGTCAAACCACACGAAAACCCCCACTAAATAAGTGCCGGCAACCCCCTCCGAATACGCCTAATGAGCCATTGAATGTACCAGGAAGGTACCAAGGACGTCACCTGACTTGGTGTCAGCATTTTGATTCAGAGCAAGGTCAATGAGATCAGTCACATAGTCAATGACGTCATGAGATGTGGCATCGTGCTTCTGAGAAGAAAATCATCAATGCGAAGACGGACTGTAAAAATATATCCAGATATGACGTTGCGATGCTTGCAAGCTAGTCTATGTAGGCGATCGTAGGTTTGACGGCTCAGACTTTTTAAGAGGCGAGGACCATAACCTAATAAAGAGCCTTTACCGGCGCTGACCTGGGGCAGTGAGATTGGACAGGTTCCATTTTCTCCATTGCCATGTTTTAGCTGGGCACTCTGTTACAGAACAAAACCTCTACTACGCAGAAGTAACCCTTCTGATTTTTCTCCTCCCTGCCTAACGATCCCGAACTTGCTGATTCTTCTTATCTCTACACAGTCGCCTTCCATCCGCCATTATCTCTGTTTGGTCGATCAAAAAGGCGACTTCAATTGTTAATGTCTAAAATGATGAAATTCTGTCGCGTGACACCAGTGGCGACGAATTACCGGACTCTAGTCGTGTCTCACCCTGCCTCCGACACTGGCGGTTTCTTAATTGTGGGTCAACATGACAGGCCGTCGGCACTCCCACCCATCCCACCCCCCTCCGGGGTTGACAGGTATATTAGCTATGCTACGATAATTACAGACTCTCGATCGTGCAGCCTCAGCAGTTTACATCCCGCTCGGCGGCCCATGGTCTCACTTCCATGAATGCACCCGGCAAACCAGCCGAGACTCGAAAGGTTGACCTACATTAGCAGACACATTCACAGACACCAGTTCATAAGCCAAGATGTGCGAGAATGTGGGACTAGAATCGTTTACGTGAGGAGTCAGCAAGAGAATACTGTCGAGGTCTGGCAGTGTGACTAGGACCCATGCGTCCGCGAGTTGGCGAGCACCAACGCACTTACGATACATTAGGTGAAGAGGCCATAATCCGACTGTCAGGTTAATGCACAGATGGCTCTGTGCATATATTAAAAGGTTCAAAAAATGAAAAGTTAAAGGAATGAAATGAAAAACTGTCCTAGTGGAAGCGCACTGCTTCGTCAGTACCGACAAAGACGCAGAGTGACATTGCCTTGTAGACTGCTTCAGCAGTGACACCGGACGACTTCTGATGTCTACTCAAGCCATCGGGTAGCCAATGGAAGTTTGGCCGTCTTCGGCGCATATCTGGAGGATGCATCAAGCAAGGGCTTAAGGAGAACATGCCAACGTTAACGGTTTCGTTAACACTTACGGGCAGTTCTTGGCAGCCTTATATTTGCCCTTGAACATAGGCCTCCTAGTGCATTGTTATTAGTGATTAGTCACTAGATCTGGTAGGTGTCTTACGAATCGGACGCAGGAGTTACAGAATCACACTGCTCAAAACCGGTCGAGGATAGCGCGACTTTCGTGGTAAGCCCTCCCTAGATTCCCCTCTCTACGTGTCGTTCTAAATTAGGCGTCAGCAGTGTGATTGTCGCTGGCTAAACGGTTGCGACCTCCTCCTATGCTTCGGTAGCAATGTTGACAAAGTGTGGCCTTGTGAGAAGTATTGCTGGCATCGACGCGAAGACAGTGAGGTAGCTAATTCTGGCTCGATTTCCACCGATAGTCAGCCATGTCCATCCAGATATCTTAAAATTTGAACTGTGGTCCAGCTGCTCAGTGTGCTCGAACCTCTATCTGGAGAAGTCAGAGCTCATTCCTGTAATAAGGCGAGATCTGTGGGCGTCAAGTTCACGTAACAGTGAGGCTGATTTTAGGGGTCACGTGCAGGTAACAGGGCCGGCTGTGCCAATGCAGGACGTTCGTGCTGATTGGTTTTCTACCTCATGCTCAAGGACTCGCCAACTGCAGGGAGTCTATTCTCCGGTATCCTGGAAATGGCGTCATCGAGCGTTTTAACTAAGGCCTAATGACGGCTAATGGGGAAGAATTACTTCAGAAAAGTATCCATGCACTTAGCAACTGGGACGCTAAGAGGACTGGAAAGAATTACCTGACGGCTGAGAAGATGAATAGGAACGAAAGAAGGTGGTGGCGACGAGGAGTGGGGCGGGGGAGGAGAGACGTGTGAAGGACAGAGGCAGCAGGCGGAGATGGAGGAGGAGGAGGAGGAGGAGGAGGAGAAAGGAGGAGAAAGGAGGAAGAGAAATAGTGGGAGGAACGGTAGGGGAAAGGGATAGGGGGATGGGAAGAGGAGGGGGCAGGACGGGGAGGAAGAAGAGGAGAGGGAGGGGAGGGAAGGATGAGGAGGAGGAGGAGGAGATTGATAGGGCGTAAAAGTGGGCTTAGAAAGGATCGGTTACTCTGCCCGGGTTCCAAGTGTAACCGCAATGGGGCATTGAAAGTAAGGTAAGCCGGAGAAGGATGATCACACTCGACTGCACAACATTCGACATTCTATTCCACCATCTGCGTCAGTGTGGAAAATTGACCTTTCTAAATCCTACATCTCTCCTCAACCAGCATTGATCACCGTCTCAAGTATCCACTATCAGCCAACTTGGAACGAACTCTAGATCTGCCTATGAACGTCAAGAATTTAACTAACTTTTGGGTGATCCCACTCCCGTAGGTACAGAGTGCAGTACTACTAGTTTGGAGGGCAATCGTCGCTGCCCAGTTACGTCACTCCTGGTCTAATGAACCGTCCTCATCGGTAGTAAAGAAGACGGCATTTCTCAGTAGCGTAGGCCAAAACTAGAAAGAGCGTTAAGTTGACATGTAGTTCATTAAAAACTCATTTCTTCCCTTACCTCCTTTTTCAAGAGTTAACGATACTAATTATAGTAACCGTGGCGGTTACAACAGAGTCAATAATGGTCTGTGAAATATTATTGCTGTTGACTTCTTTTGCGATGAAAAATTCCACAGAGGTTGAAAAAAAAATCAGTTCAAATTTAACTGTTCGATTGTCGTTGCCGACGATGTCAACCGTGTCCTCCACAGCAAGGTGAAATAGGCACGGTGACTTGTGCGTGAGTTATAGTGGTAATAGACTTGCACAGCATCTACCGCACTCTCACCTCCTACTCCCTACCCGGAACCTCTGTCAAGACATAGTTAAGGAGACTGGAGCCGGGGGGGGGGCGCAGGGGAATGGCTCGGCTGGGCCCGCACCTAGGCGTACCACCACACCGGCTGGTTCACACAGAAAATGACCAGGATTTCAACCAATAGCATCACCATCAACAACAACAACGACAGCAGCAGCAGCAGCAGAGAGATAAATAAGGATGACTGAACAGCCATGCTCACGATCTGTGACCCAGCGGGAGCGCGAGCGCACCCACCGGCAGGGAACCGACAATCAGATAAATCCAGTGCATACCAGGCTACAAGGGCCATGGTTTGCTGATCCTGACATGGCAGACGCTTTCGGACCTTTAGGCCACTGCAGACTTAACGGGAGAATGTCATACTTACGGTGGCTTGATATCGTCAGGACGTGATTCCTCTGGGAAGCAGTTCGAAAGCACCAAATCGATGTGTCCTAGAAGAGGTTGGCAACCCAGCGCAAGAGACACATCCATCAGTGGTTGAGCAATAACAGCTGGTAGAACCTAGAAAAGGATTAATGAAGGACAAAATTATCGCCGCTAACATCGGGGAAGTTCAGGATAGATTGGAGAAATAAGTTTGCGTGCTTGCGAAGAAGCCCAACTTGACAGTTTTAAAAAGTCAATTCAGGAGCATCATAAATGGCGAAAGGGGCCAAAAGGTGAAATATCAATGTATCGATTAAAGAGACGTAGGTGTAGGTCATGTGTTATAAACCAGTGACCGAAAAAGAGGAGCCGCGCAAAAAACGGCTGCGTTTGAATGCATAGAACTTTGATTAAAAATTCTCGGCACATTTTCAAATGAGAAAGAGTACCTGACCGAGATAAAATAATCTGATTGACAGACAGAGGTAGTCCATATGACAGCTCGCCATGAAAAAGGAGATTGGCGATTTTTCGGCAAGATGTGTTTGGTTGTCCCACCTCATGGAAACAATAATGTTGGGGTTGGGGTTAAGGGTTAGGGTTATGGGTTAGGGTTTAGGATTAGGGGTTAGGGTTAGGGGTTAGCACAACTGTTTCTCAACCATTCGAAGCACAACCGCGTATTCGCCAAAGCTTTTCATTTACATACAACTACTTGACCCCGTCGCCTGTGCGTTCCCCGGCTCCACGTGTAAAAACCCCTATTACCATCGGTCCCGTATTAGAGGCAGCTGGGGTTTGTTTACTTCATGTGGGGCTACCAAACCACATCCGACCAACTTTTCCGCCAATTTATTTCGACGTTGTCCATACTGAATGCGTTTCACGTTATTATCAAACCTCCCTTCTCTTATTCATTTTGTGTCTAGTCCAATAGCCTAGGCACCTTAGATACCTCCACGTAGGTGCGGTCACAGATCATGCCATATGGAAAAGTGCTGATAGCCTCAACAACCTTTTTAAACCAATGATATGAGTGGACCACAAGCCCTTTACCACAGACGCAGTCTTTCAGCTTACTGATCAAAAGAATACAGCCGTTGTACACCAGCATTTACGTCGTCAATAACTGGTAACGAGGATAGTATGCGGTGCCCGATCTTAGACGGATTGTTTTATAATCATCTATGAGACTAACCGCGGAGATGTCCTCATACAATGAACTTTCCAAGGAGCCTGAATGTCGCTCATCCGGAAGAGGTAGTCCGCAAATGGAATCTGGCATTTGAACTGGAAAGCAAGCTCTTCAAGGAAGACAACCCTGCGAAAAACTGGACCACGCTGCAAAACGCAGCTTACATCACATCATAGAAATCCCAGACTCACGACCCGTGGATGCCAGAATTGATTTCCCATGCACAAGACTCATAACGTTCAATAGCTGATCACCATGATGGAGGCATACACTAAGCGGAGATTCGATATCTCCAGTTCTCTATACGCAAATAATGAATGCTTTAAAAGATGGTCATCACGTGACAATCAGTGTCAACTGAACCGTATACAGAACCGGCGTTCACTGTGAACGACCACCATCCTGTTGACGACAACCACCATGGCCACGTCTAGCATTCTAGTTCAAGGTCATGTTGGCTCAAGGTCATTCGCTTTTGCAGCGAGCGCTTCCTGACACGCTGAGCTGCAGCCACTCGACCGACTTCTACTTGGACACAGGTGCGTCGTAGCTGCCCATGCTCCACTTGAACATACCACACCCCTACGAACACGACATAAGCCACCACTCGACAAATCAGAACACGCCAATTGGACACAACTTGAGCCTGTTCCCCATTAACTTACAAAAGCATTTGCGATCACTATCTCACTGACTGTGAAACATGACCGGACGCGGTCAACACCAGCCCTGGCTTCGCCAACGGCCACTGCTGTCTGAGAGGACAACTCACGTTTCTGTACACAATAAACCCCTCAGTCCGGCGACCTCTATCTTTTCCTACAATTCGCGATTTGGCCTGGTGATTTCATCGCTCTGAATACACTCCCACCTCCTTAGATGCTACACTCTCACCGCTACAAAAGTAGTTTCTGAGTGAAAGGGGTAAGGTCCAGAAGCACTACAACTGACGATGAAATCACAGCATGCCTTCCGAAAGCCAGCCAGACCACTGGAGTAGCATAGCATTCACTTTAAGACCGCAACGGCGTCGTTCCGAACAGTAAGATGAAGACGTGCAAAACGATGACGCTTCCCTGGGGCAAGGCATGATTGATGTTTTGCAAGAGCCGATCTGAGAAAGCCGATCACTGTCACCCAAAATGACTTCGGGGATCCTTGGACGTTAAGTTGCAGGCGCGGACCATGGACACCTAAGTCCTGAGATCGGCAAGCATACTCAACGGTGTCGCAGTGCTTAAGCAACTCAAACTTCGACTAAGTGGCCGTATTGTTAAGATGTCTGTTGGGGAGCTTCCAGAAAAATTTCCTGCCAGTGTTGCTGCAGGTATCCGCAGAGAAAGGAACAAAAAATGTCAGACAGACACCCGGAAGACTTAGTTTAAATGTGCTGAAATCAGCCAGGGCGGTGACGGTAGGGTGTGGGACCCCACGTAGCTGGCAACTCCAGAATATACCCTGAAATTAGGTGTGACTGCAAACATCACCTATTATTCGTCGCTTCCTTCCCTTCCTAGCTAAATGTAAGCTTGCAAGCGGCGGTTTATTCAAAGTCCGTCCATTTTTGAAAGTTGCATTTGTTTATTTTTTTATTATCGTGCTCACATTCTTTGCCAAATGACAGCGTACGATAAGACTTTCAGTAGAAATTCACTTACTTTCTGTGTCTTCTTGCTCACCCGTAAAGCTTTCTCTACAACCATTCAATGTATGACATGGTTCAAGTGGGTTGAGGTCCTACACCCTACAGTTGCCGATCAGGGCTTCCGAGCATATTTGTCACCCGGCCGTCAAACATGGTGACCTCGCACGGAGAGGGTTGGAGTGCAACATTATAAAACAAGCATGTGGCGGGGAGCTGTGGCGGCCAGCCGTCATGACCGGTCTGACGTCATTGTTCAAGAGCTCGCTGCCTCAGGCTCATCCACCCTTTTGCAGTGAGCCGTTCCAGACGCGCTGACCTGAAGTCTAACGACCGACAGCTCGGGCATACCTGCGTTCGCGCAGTCGCAGCTGCCCATGCGGCCACTTGAACGCTCCTCCCTCCTGCAATCGCAACCTAAGCCATTGGGAAACCACCCCCCGGCAAATGCAACACACACCGTTTGGAGACCACTTGAGATTGGACCACGAGCCTACAAAAGCGGCTGCCACCACTGTCTCAGGCATGACCGGACGCAGTCAACACCAGCCCTGGTTTCGCCAGTGGCCACTGCTGCCTGAGAGGACAACTCCGGGTTCTGTGCACAGTAAACCCCTCCTCCTGGTGCCTTTTTGTTTTCGCCCTACAACTTGGGATCGGACCCGACGATGGTAGCGCACAGACAGGGACACGCTCACACCGCCTATTCGCAACAAGCACATACAACTGCCCAAGAAGAATCTGTTAGACTGTAAGACCGGGTCCCGAGGGAAAACAGGCCATTCTACGCGTCCCCCACTCCTGCCAACGCACGTTTAAGGCAGGGAGGACAATCTCTGGGCACTACTCAGGCCGTCATATCAACATAAACGAGAACAGATCTCGGCACAGATGCATAGCTGCACCCTCCATTACGGCCGCATGCTCAGGGTGCAGACTAATCGGAACCCCTTCTCTCAGCCACAGCGCAAAACAACCTGGTTGGTATGTGTCCGGCACACGTAAGTTAGGAAATACTGTCTGATCAGCCACTGAGTGGTTTTTTATCATTAGACCGTGAACGGGAGGACAGAGTCAACGAGGCTGCCCCTTGATTGGTATAATCCGACAGACGGCTTTGGGCGGCTAACAATTGGGGAATAAACACTTGTCATATACAGTAGGTGGGCTAACTCATGAAATGCTAACCGAAATTCCGAAATGCGTTTTCGTTTCGAAAAGATGAATTAAGTAGGGTTGTAAAACTAATCATCGTACAGCAAAATTCTATAATACTTCAGATGCCAGCTTTCGAACAAACCTCCTCCCGGCGGCATGCAAAAACCGCACTCTGTAATAAATGACGACTTAAGTAGCATACATTTTACCCATTGATTTTCGATGCCCTTAAAAATTCAATTACATTTCATGGAAAGCATGCATAAAATATTCATCTTCTCACTCACTCGGTGGAAAATTACGTCCTTTGTCCAATTTAGCACTCAAAGGAAGGGCATAATTCGGTTTCGAAAAGTTTATAATTAAGGGATTTTTCAATACCGTTCATAAAGCGTCATGTCTCTGCATTTATCAATGTGGCTTGTAAAGTTAACGATATGGCTCAAATCCACTGCCAAATTTTATGAACTCCACTTAGTTCCCTCTCAATACCGTAGACAAATGTATGGTTTTCTGTACGCAGAACATATAGGGTTTGTAGTTTGGAAACCCTGAATGCAATTGTAACGGTAGGTCGGGTTCAAAATTATTTGGGGATTAAAAAACTTTTTGAAAACCAAATTATACCTTTTCCTCGAGAAAAAATTGAAAGAAGACGTCGTTTTCTACCGAATGGCAAAAGAATGAATATTTTATGCATGTGTTGCATGAAATATAATCGAATTTTTAAGGGTATCGAAAATCAATTGGAAAAATGCATGCTGCATAAGTAGTCATTTTATGCGGAGTATAGTTTTTGAATGCAGCCGGAAAGAAGTTCGTTCGAAAGCCGGAATCCTGAGGCAACTGAATTATTATAGAATTATACCGCAAGATAATTAGTTTTACAACTCGAGCCACAGAGCCAAAGCGCTTAGTCGACCCTTTTGACATGGGAGTACTCCATCCAGAGCGGTGGGAAAAACTGCCATGCATGATTTTGGGTGGCTCTTTGTGCGGAGGGTTCCAGAATGGCCAACATACTCGGTGATACTACTGACCGTATCCAGTCAGTGGAATTCGGTAGTATATGCGGCTGATTACGTGAACTTTTATTTCCCCAGGTGTCAGCACCATGACAGCTGTGACTACCATTGTGAGGGTGGCGAGCCAACTATCGGCGCATTTATATGCATGCGGGATGTTAATTTTGGCCCCTCTGCCGACAACGGGCTGAGGTGCAGGTACGCCAGACTAAAACGGTACTTACGCTGCCTCACGATTTGTGTTTATCGGGCAGCGCAGAATCTGCACGAGGCCATAAATACTGTCGTAAATGTGTGTGTGGCGGCACGCCCCAGACGTAGACGATCACTCCGCGCCAGCCAATTTGCCAAATCTCATTACCAGCTGACTGACAGGTTCGGAGAGTCGGGGGCGGGGGTCGCAACTGGGGAATTTATCCTGACTGCAGATCAGCGTACTCCGCACTATCCTAAATCTGGCGCGCTTGAATCCATCCCGACGCGTAAGAACGGTGTCTTGGAAGGTTGCCGACCGACGGGGTAATGCGCCCCTTCTGAGAAGCAAAATTCAGACTGCGACGGTTCTTTCTTGACGCAGAGCCTGCGGCGCTCTCACCGGTGTGAGATCCGGGCCGCAATCACAGCAGCTTAGGATGGCACGCGTTGACGGGTTGTCCGAACTTTCCACCTACTGCGCCTGCATCCAGGTCCGCTCGTCTTGAAATTTTCTTTCTCTCGGGGCCAGGAAGGTGGGGGAGGGGGGGGACAGCGCGGTAGATGCTGCGCAAGTCTCCACCACTGTAGAAAAACCCACGCGACGACCTCGCAAAGCAGAGATAAACATCGTAAAATGTGACGAACAGATTGTCCGGCAAATAAAGCGGACACGACCGCCTAGCAACTTAAACTGTTCAACAGCATAGTAAACACAGAACTCATGGCGACGCTGCAGGTCGAAGAGGTAGTATCTGGAGTAGATGTAACTTCGATCCCACAGTTCAGAACGATAGAAAGTCAACTATGAATGTGTTCACCCTGACTTCACCCCTGTTTTGTTCTGAAGGTAGAGTGCTAGAGTCACTGATGGAAACGTGGACATGAGGGCTGGGAAATTCGAGGAACTACCACAAAGCAGGGACCGAACAAGTCGATTCGTTTTCGAAAACAAACGATCCCAATTCTTGGCCGCATACATGAAACAAAATGCGATGTTCCTTTATTATACTGCGTTGGCACAAGTTGTTTTTCCCAGTAAAAGAAGAAGACCAAATTCTCAGCAGTTACTGCTGACCGTCAGCGTGTTTTGGGCTTCCCCTGCACGAATGACCGCACTGGTCTCATCTGGAAACCGAGTTTCTTTCCTCCGAAGGTCAGAGATCAGGTCTTTGAATTGACCAGCTACGGGGGGGAGGGGGGTGGCTTGCAACACGCACGCCCAAGTCGCATAACAAACTAGTGCATTCCCTCTGCAGTCTGGAGGGAGTTCGAACCGGGCTTGCATGTCTCGTTTCATCAATCAGAGGCCTGCACAGCCAGCTCGACCGTCGTTTTCAAGTCGCAGGCCTGTTTTACGGAATCATGGTAAATAGTTTATCTTAGGAACTCCTGGGTCCAGTAGGCACCAGGGCATAAAATGTTTACAAATCTGCATTTTGCAGCGTAGCACTTGCTGGCACAACTTGTAGCCAAAACACCAGCCAAAGTGAGAATGGACGCTTTGCACTTTAAAGAGACACGTTAAATAGGCCAGTCTGTCGCAACATTTACGCGCTGTCCTGTGCTTTTCACCACCGTCGCCGTTGATTGCATGCGCACGCATGCACGTTATTAGCCGCTTCCGTTTGACAAGGGGATTTTATCAGCGACTGCTTGGACTACGTCAGGCACAAGGAGGGAGTTTCGGGAGTTTCTTTCCTGGTATATATATATATATGTTAGGAAGTGATGAAATTATCTGGGATAAAAGTAAATGTTGTAGCGTAAATTTTCGAGGCTGGTCGTCTAGGTCGTCGGCAGACTACGGGTGGAGTATAAAATCAATTAACCGAGTCTAATAAATGATTCTACAGTTGTCTGACGTCTGAATAAATACGAAGTTAATTGCATTGCATTATCCCTCCTGGAGTGTTTGTGGTCGTTGGAATTTGCTGCTGAGGATTTTGCACGTGGTGTCTGATGAAAGTCTCATCAGAGTGCACTGCCAATCCTTATTGGAAAGGCGTCAACAATGCGAGAATTATCTCACACGAGTCCTTGCCCAGTGTCCAGTGTGTGTATGGCCACCTGAGACAAGTGGTTTCGTCTCTCCACCGCTAAACAGCGTTAGTAGACACGGGTCGGCAGATATTTCTCAGTTTGGCCACAGTAGGCGGCATCAAAACCGACACAAGACGCCAGCGGGCACCTCAGTGGTGTTGGTTCAAAGGAGCTTCTAGAGACAACGCTTCGCTGAATCCAGCAGATTCGAGGTGGAGAACGATACCACATTAAATGACATCACCACCTAGTCACTTTCAACGATGACTCCTTCCAGGTTGTCTAGGAACTACTCGTGAATGTTCAAGTTGGTTACACCAACCCGTTGTCAGAGGATGTCAGTAGTAAGAAACGAGATTGCCGCAGTAGAAATTCTGGCAGGCACAGACGATATACGGAACGTGCTCTCCATTTGTGCCTTGGGGCTCAAACTAGAACTCTCGCAGGCAGTCACATAGCGACTATGGGTATAGGTAGATAAGACAAGCCAGCGCAAGTCTCCTTTTTTCAAGACGCCTTTAACGTCTTGCGGCCATGGTGATCACTCTCTAATCTCTCCGAGCACGTCTTTCCTTTAACGCCGGCTCACACTTACGCAGTTTTCAGCTCCTTTGCACGGATACTACCGATCGTAAGCAGCACGCACATCACCAAATGATTGAATCCGCATCGAGTGGAGATGAAAAGAGGGTCAAAAAATGAAAGGAAGAAGACGAGAAAAAACGAGTGGACGCTGATAAGTTGTAAGGCGTTTGTGCATTAAGATAAATTTTCCGATCGCCTAGAAAAATCGATCAAGACTGAGGCGAGATAAAGATTGTTTCGTTGCTGAAGCGTCGTTAATGCCCCGTTAGGGTTAGCTGAGAATTGTAAACAAAATACTAATTTACAACGAAAAAGAAACTATATCTAGCGAGGGCATGTTACTCACCTCTGCCGCGGTATCATTTCCTTCGTGCCAAACATACTGAGATGCGAGAAATGCAAGGATCTTGTGGGCCAGTCGTTGCTCTCCGAGAGTTTTGAGGCTGCTCGCATCGAATTTTGGAAGCTATCATGGTGAAGATGGATGCGAACTTTCAGTTAGAAGAATGCCTTTGTTGAGCTCCAGTAAGTGTGATTTTGGCAACCGGTATTGCCTGCTTTTCATAATTATACCGATGGTAGTTTGATGTTAAGACAAGAGTGCAGACGTTCATTTATAGCCCATTAGCGGTAATTTGTAGGTCACAGTCTGCGCTTAAGTCTTCTTAGCACCAACGTCTGAAACACTCGTGAAATAATTGAAAGATATTATGCTCTGGTTAAATAGGACGGAGTAATTTTACGAAATATATATGAGAAAAATTTATTTATCACTCCTACACTGTGTGTCTCCAGACTCTTTGCCTTATCGTAAACCCAGCTCACATCTGTCTAGGAGTTAGGCTTTAACTGGTTGAAATGGTACGTAAGCTGCATCAGGGGGAATTAATTCTGGCCGATTAGCCATAAAAGTACTTTCAGTCTTCCTTTTTGAAGCAACAGCTTTTGCTGGGGAACAGGGGCTCGAGTGTTTGTTTAAATTCTGCAATCGGAATAGTGCAACGGCAAGCCTTATCAAGAAGGGCTGGCTGAGAACCACGTCGTTGAATCCGCAGAGTGTGCTCTTAATTAATGTCCGTTGACGGCTTAGGAAAGGTCAGCGGGAATGTTTTTCCAAACAAGTCGTTTGTGGCAACGGTCTTCAGAGTACACGCTTTCCACCAGTAAATGACATTCCTCGCAACATTTTCGTTTTCACTACTGTCAAATTAAGAAGACAACAAAGTGGAAGAATGCGGAGGATCACGAAAGCATGCATAAAGTGTTCTATGAAAAAGACAGCTCATTTCTACCAGCTTTGCTTCGGGTGATTCCATTGCCCACTATGTGCCCTTAAAACTGAAGACAGAACAAACGAGACTGAAGTGATAGTTTCTGAGTTGTTTGAAGTCATCAGCCACCCACAGCCTAGTCTGGATTAGAGGGCCCATCGAGTTACGTAAGCCAACTGCTGTATCCCTAGCAGCCCATACTCATACTTTATACAAGATATACACTGGCTCAACATTCAACATCCCTCATGGTGGATGCGGAAATGAAGATTTTTCCTGACAATATGTTGGTTTCCCATGATTTAAACCCCAAATTCCAGTAACGCACTTCCCATTTTGCCCTACAAGATGTGGATCAGCGATGTCCCTGATGAGTGGGGTATTGAGTAATTTTCACTTGGAGGAAGGGGTAGGAATACTGCGTTCGACCAATCTTCTAAGGATCTCATTGGCATTCTTAATCCATCCTGTCTTAATGCAAGCCTTAACAAATTCTTCTACCTATGATGGTAGATTTTCGAGTAGCCTTACAAAGATGCCCGGACAGTCATACAAGCGTTTCTCAAAACTGAAAGAGATTATCGCCATAAACCGCTGGTGTTTTTGGGGCGTATGACGTTTCCCTTTATGTCTGTGACTGCTTAAACTTGAAACAGATGCATTAAATCATAAAATGAGTTTTAAAAACACCCCGGGATTTGCAGTAAAGCCAAGTTGTACGCTTTACGTTGGTATATCATTCTCATCTACTAGTAAACTGCCTTTGCCATCTAAACGCAAATACCCAATTGGACGCTGCTAAAGGTCACTTGCGCTCGCAAATTTCGATTTCAGTGCCACCTGATACTTGTGATCAGTACCCCGAACGCGGCCCAGCACATGTGGAGGGAAAAACGGATCGTGTGCTTCACGCGTACACGGCATCTCCAGTTCTATCAGTCAATGCGTCCAATTCCAGTACCAGTTGGCTGAGATCGGATAGTCGTCTGATGCACGGGAGAGGGAAGAGGGAGAGCGAATACGGCACATTGGAATCCATCCTCACGGCAAGTCAGCCCTTTCCTCACTATACTGAATCTGACACGCTTGAACCCGTCCCGACGCGTCGGAGTTTGCATATTGGGAGGTTTCCAACTGACGGACTAAATCGACCTTTATGGGAGTGCTTCTGTATGAATGGAGGACTAAGAGTCAGGCCACACCAGCTGCTTCCGAACGTATCCTCCATGTCTTTACCACTTAGGTTTGATCCGAGCGATCCAGCTTAGCGGGGCCCGGAGCGCAAGGAACGAAGCTAGGCCGTGTGTGGTACGCGTAGACGAGTTGTTCAAATGTGTCAGCCGCTGTGACCACATCCACCTCGGGTTGTCTTGATACTGCCTTGTCATCAAAGTTAGATGGGTGAGAAAGGATAGGGTGTGATGGGCTCTGTGTGTAGCAGCCGCTCCAGTCCCCCGTTCGGTCGATCGATGGCCGCGACAATCGTCCACACACGGCCACCCCCGCCGGCTAGAACTGAGGCACCTCCGGTCCGACTGCAGTGACTCTCGGCCGCCCTCACAAACTTTCATCACGTAGGGGTCACCAATTTATGGCGGTTAGGTCCGCACAAAGTCATCGTGATGGTAAACTCGTGAGGCAACGGTGGAAGCTGTTGGCCGCAGCGGCTGAACCAGCATGTGAACGCCACCAAAAAGCATGAACAATCCCAAAGTATCTTTAAATGCCAGGCCGCGCAGCACCCCTATAGTGCGCGACGATTTTGGAACTTAATTCTTAAATGTGCAAGACAGCATATAGAGAGATGTCAGTGAATGGGAAGGAAAGTTACCTCCTCGATGCGTTTCCTCAGTTCCTTAGTACCCAGGAGTTTGTGAGAGTTTCTTAACAAATCAGCGAATGGCTGAAGAAGGGCTGGCATCGGTGTCTGCAGTGGAGTATTTTAAAACGCAAGTTTGAAGGCTTACGGGTGACCTCTGTAGGCACCCTGTGGACTCGTCAAGTTGGTAGTGGTGGAGTGGCAGCATTACTTGATTCTTCCCTTCTAGAGGTATCCCTAGACATCAAAATAATGGAGTGATGATGGAGTAAAGACGTACCTCACTGGCGGCTGGTTTAATCCCTCTCAAGTTACCAAGGCATTGCACGTGCAAAATAAGTAAGAACTAGCCAATTACCGACGGCGAACCAGAGAGAGTGCATTTTTGTCCAATCATAACCTCCAACGAAATGCGGTTTCAGTGTAGGTCTTTTGGCACTGAAAGTATTTCTCTAAATGCAGTAAAACGCTGTCATCTCAATTGTGAGTTAAAAAGCGCCTGCTCAGTTTCGATTTAGTAGCTGAACCAATTGTTTACGCTCCACTGGTAGCGCCAGCTACTCCGTTTTGATCGCCCGCCAGTCAAGAGAATAGACCGAGAATAGACTGGAATACTCATATGTAACAAGACAGTCGAACTACCTTAGTCGAAACATTTTTAAATTCCTAACTGTCAAAAACCTTTTGAGCGTTTCCCTATGGCATGCGTGATAAAGAAAATGTCTCCGGTGGTCCGACTTTGAGAGAGGCTATACCCTAAAAAGCTTTAATAACACCTACAAATAATTCTTTGTTTTAAAGCACTCATATTCTCCTGTCACGTTCAAATATTCGACGAAAAAGCGTAAAAGCGTCCACCTCTAAGGGGCCACTTAAGTACTGGACATATGCGAGATACTTTTTATGTCGTCTGGTTTCTGCTAACGCATAATTTAAGAACGGAACCAGCACAGTATTGACAGTTTGAGCGACACTTCAATAATTAAAAGATCATTAATTGGAACATTGTCAACCAAGTAACGAAGTCTTCAAGCAAACAACGATAACGGAAATAACTAGGACGAGAAATCTGAGTTATTAATTCCGCGATAAAAAATTGTTAGCAATTTTCGGAGAAGTGAATGGTTGGCCAAACTGTCAAATCCGTTTCAATACTTTCCCTCGGAAAAAGATGAATTGCGTGGATATTCGTCAACAAAATACCCTCCTTAAGCACTTTTAATGGGGTAGTTTTTGGAGATGATCTTTTAAATGATCAAGAGCATATTCATCCCAGACCTCCCCGTGGAAATTTCTTTTATTTCGGCGAAGCAGTCTCCTTTTTTTCGAATTTGCGGTTAGGACCCAGAAAACCATTAATATGAAAAAGAACGTCCCAGAACACACTACTTTGCTTAATGCTTTCGAGAAATATCCATCTTTGAACGTTTTAATGGACACAAACTACAGAAGCAATGTTTTTGGTAGTCGATCGAGAATGTTGAAAAGCGAAAGTTTTCACCCTGAAACTCGGTGAACTCCACCGCTGCCAAAAACTGCACAGTAATTTTACTGATGAAAAGATCTCTCAGTTCACAGAAAGTGGTATGCTTACATCTGTTACTCCTACCCGAAGTTATTGGTCACTTACCAAACTCACAATATGTGACCTTATCAAAAAATTTTTATTTATATGATCGCCCTATCAGTGTTATCAAGAAAAATTCGTCTTGCTTTAATCAACTGCACCTTGACAGTACAAAATCGGTTAAATCACACCGCATTCTCGAATAGAGGCTTCGGAACCTATAATCAAACATAACGTATTTAGCTATGCGCCAGACTTCGCATTACACTAAGTCCTGGAGCATATTTTATGTAATTATATGTAAAGAACTGTTTTTTGAACGTTATTGTTTATTCTTTTCTATAAACTCGGCTATCTATGTGGATAGGCATTGTGTGCTGTTAACAACTGAGTTTTCTCATTTGGCACGAATTTTGCACTTTCAATATTTCCGGTCTTCTTACGAAAATTTTCATTTCTAACCAACTGACTAGTACTTCAAATATTTCTTTTGCTTTTTAATTTAACTGAAGGCCCTTCGCTATTAGCTGGGCGTATTAATGGACTGCTTTACGGTTGGTCATCTGGGCATATTTCATCAGCAAGGCAACATACCTTGCTTTATGGCGAGGCAGACTTGCGCAACATCTACCAAACTATCTCCCTCACCAAACACCTGGCTCTGATTGCATACCCTGTCAGGACGATCGAAAGGCAGGTTAGGGCGAGGTGACTGACAAAGTTTAGCACCCCGTCTACGCGTCTCACACGCGGCCTGGCGAACGCAGGATGCATCGGGTTTTCATGGGGACGGTTCCAAGCTAACATGAAGAAACCATCGAGTCTGACTCTCATTCCTCCAGCCAGTCACTCTACACGCACACTGTACTGACCACGAGGATGGAGCCAGACCGTCAGTTGGCAACCTTCCAGGCCATGACTACTGGCGCATCGGATTTACTATATTGAGGAATGCAATGATGAGACGTGGGCATTGATTACCCAGCACCAGTCTCACTCCTTCTATCTCCTCTCCCGTGCATCGATCCAGTGCCCGAGCCTGTCTGCGAGCCATGATGCCCACATCTAGGCGTGCCATTGTAGCGAGCGGCCATCATGACCGGTCTGGCGGCATTGTTCAGGACCTCACTGCCCCAAGGTCATTCACTCTTTTGCAGTGAGCCGTTCCAGACGCGCTGACCTGAAGTCTCACGACCGACAGCTCGGGCATACCTGCATCCGTACAGCCGCAGCTGCCCACTTGAACGCACCTCCCCCCTGCAACCGCAACCCAAGCCACTGGGACACCACCCCTCGACAAATGCAACACGCACACTGACTGGACACCACTAGAGCTTGGCCCACGAGCCTACAAAAGCGGCTGTCCCAAGGACTCTCAGGCATGACTGGACGCAGTCAACACCAGCCCTGGCTTCGCCAGCGGCCACTGCAGCCTGAGAGGACAACTCCGGGTTCTGTGCACAATAAACCCCTCAAACTGGTGACTTCCGTCTTCTCCCTGCAACTTGCGATCTGGCCTGACGATTGTAGTTCAAATGCTGCACACTGTCGCACTGCTGTGCCGCTACACCACCATACTTTCGAGTGTGGCAATTATTTTTTCTGGTTCACGCGTATCCGATACGGCCCGATTGGTATGTGTGCCGTGAGCCGAGCCGAACCCGCTTTGCTGACGGATATATTTGGCGCAGCCAGTTCTCAGGGTCACAAAGAAAGTACGCTCTGGCCATTTGCTGTCATCATCGAGGCGTGAACGCGGATGGGCTCACCATCACAACAAAGTCTCCATTCCTGACCCAGAGGCCTAAATGGTGTCTGTTGAAGTCGGGTACAGTCAGATACATGGGAGTGAGGCGCACCGATGCGTCAACAGTTGAAGTGGAATGTAGCTACTCTTCCTTGAAGTAGTCTCCTAGGTCAATCACAATACAGGTGGTTTGAGGCCGCGCCGTTTCCCTTCTGTTGTACAGTTTAAATTTCCCCAGGAAATGGTTACCGTCTTCCGATATTTTGTTGATACATACAATCAAATCTGTCCTGATTCCTTAACACTGAATCAGCATTAAAAAGGGGCAAAAAGTCGTGTATTAAATTTAGCAATCATTTCCGTTTTTTGGTAGGATGGTAGTTGGTAACCCTGCCCACTGATCCTAAAATTGTACTTACTGGCTCGAGTTCAAGCTCTGTGATTACGTTCTCATTGTGTCTGGGAGTGCACGCGCAGAAGCCCTGTCAGGATGACTTTCTTCTTCACTTTAACCGCCCCGAGAACGAGTCGCTGCAAAAATGTCTATATAGACTCATTGTATTGCACCCCTACACGGAAATCTTTAGTAAAGGGCGAAAGATTTATCCTAGGTGGATTATGATTCATCATGCTTCTCATTATGCTTCTAATTGCATGCGCGCACTGTGTTACCCGTATCTGATTCATTTTAGAGGTACTATCCTGGGCTGCATACCACAGTACCCAGTTGTTACCTGAAGGCATAACCATCCGCGTGCTGTCGCAGTATTTGTAAGGGCATGACCTTTCGACATCAGCGTAAGACCCTACAGGTCAGTAGGCCTTTCTGCTGGAGATACTGCACTAGGTAGGACGACTGGATTATTTCCAGGATCCGCGAATAATCTGTCGGCCTATCCACTTGCGGTCCTGCTTTCCTTCGCCTTCTAAGAGACTGGGCTCTGCAAGCAGAACAAAGTGGTACTTCATATACAGAGTGCTAATTCCTCTTTACATTGTATAGTACACCATTCTCGTATACCAAACAACTACTGCCATAGTTTTAATCTTAGATGTGGCCACAGTGACAATACACTATTATTTGCAGATTTTCTCTTTCGCCCAAACATATTTTTTGCATTAAAGTCTTATCCCGCGTGCGTTATGCCGTCCTGCGTGCCGCTGCTTGACTCTCGTGTTCTCATGTACATTCTGTCGGTTAGAGTACTATCGCACAGACTGCGGAATGACCTTAAGACACACTGCCTTCTTCCTATTGGTTGTTCGCCTTCACTTGCTATTCTTTCCAATTTGGGGCAAGGATGCATTTATTCCGCATACCGTACTAATTATCCATGCTTATTTCTATACCCTCCTTGCATTTTTCACCTTATTTAAATTAGGCTTCCACTTTGCCAGGAACGTCACTTCCAGGCATATCCTACAAGCGCCATTTACGCCTCCACTTATCTGCCGCGCCCGCATAGCCCCTATCACCACCGGTCTCGTAAGACAGGTAGTTGGGAGTTTTCGGTACCGGGAGGGCTGCCAACTACCATCTAACCCGTTTTTTATTACTCAACCGCTGAAATGGTGTTTTGCTGATCAAGGGATTCTTCATCCTGCCTCCAATTGCTCTCCGAAAGTGTCTTCGTTTGTAAAAAAGAGCTATATCTGTATACCAAAACAGATAAGAAGATCGAGCACATTCGCTCTGACCTCTCTCGCACACCAGATGACTCTCGAGTGGTAATTAGGTTAGTCGCGCTGACCGGGAAAGACGTCACATGCAGACTTGCCACAGATCGGCCAACGGGTAATTCATACAAAACGAGCTACAGTACTTATAGAATACATACAGTGAGTGACCGATCTCATGAAGTGTTGGCTGAAATTCTGAAATGCGTTTTCCATT